AGCAGCACCACATGTACAGAAACTCAGATTTTCATCTTTGTGTCACAGGGAAGCAGAGCTTAGGCCATGGCCTGGGTTGTTCAGCCAAAGCTTCTCTCTGTCCCTGTGTGGTTCAGGAAGCTGTCAGCCCTTTTCAGCCATTTGGTCTGAGGGTTTTAGGCTTATGACAGTCATGTTACATGAGGACCATACAGCTAGGTAAGCTCAAACAGGAGACCTATGCGAGTGTTCCTACTGAAACCCTGGAGTGTGGCACGAGCATCAGCTGTGGTGGGCTCTCTGGGTGACCACTCACTGCCAAAAACATCAGCTGGCTAATCCACACGTTCTCCAGCTGGTAGTTTAGAGACAACAGAGGGCTCTGATGGAAACATGGGAGGTCAGGGAGATGCCAGGCTTTGTTATTTCTGTTGCTCACAGAGTGTCTTTTCATGTTCCTCCTCCCACCTCCCCTCCTTCCCAAGTACACTGGTAAAATACGCACAGAATGCCTTTAGCTCTTTAATATGGGTAGCACAGACCTCACCAGTGCTATTTGGTAACTAACATCGAGTTGAATTTGTTTCAGAAATTCTGCTGAGTAACTAACCCCGTGCCCCGTGAAGTCACAGTAGCCCGTCGACACCATTATTTATATTGCTTCCAAGGATGTTAGTGATACTGCCAAGTCGAAGTGAGTGATCAGGATATTTCGTACACATCCTTTGCTTGTGTGTTTAAGATGCAAGACAGCAAAGAAGCAAGGCCTGCATCTTCTCTGCTTCATGTCGTTAAGAATGTGTTTTCTGGAAAATCTAATGCCAGAAAGAGCTGCTGGACATCAGCAAGCAGATCTGCTCAGGAAAAAAGTATCTGCAGAGTCTCAGGAGCCACCTCTCATCTCATTTGGACTAAATGAGAAAACCAGCAAGGCTCCTTTTGCAGAGCTGAAGAAGCCTCTGCACATGCTGCTGGAGCACACAGAGAAGCCTCTCTGAATGACCCTGAGCAAAGGGTGGCAGAGCATCAGTTGGTATCTGAACTTCAAAAACAAGAGACTCAGAAAAGAATCTGGCAGCTTAGCCTTCAGAGGGAGCAGAAATCAAGAGTTTTGGCACACAGAATGCTCTGCAAATCTGGGTTGGATTTCTGAACAAAGAGCCAGGCTTCTTTTTATTATTATACTCAGGAAATAAAATGGTCTGTACGACCTTTGTGAATAGAAATATCTGGCTCGCATCTCAATTTCTGCTCCTTGCAGATGGTAACCTGCAAGGTAGAGCTGCAGTGCTGATGTGATATAGATTGTGGTCCAGGAGGCTTTATTGCTGTTAATGTAGGACTGTTCCTAGTGTGAAGTGTATGCCCCAGGTTCCTCTACCACTGATGTTACAAGACCTGGGATGTAAGGAGGGACTTTGCTTTAATTTGCCTACTAATCTTAATGCCTACTCTGGCTTTCGTTTTCATTTAATCTGGAGCATTGTTGCCCTTTGAAAATATATCGCTGTGATTTAGCTTTTAGAATAATTTCCTCAGGGATTAAAAAAATGCGTTGATGACAGGCGAAGCTTATACAGTGGAAGTGGGACTTAAATTTTCATAACCCATTCTAGCCCTTTCTTTCAATTGGGATGGCATATTTGCCTTCATGATACATTGTACTACAGATCAGATTTTAGATAGTATTTTCCCATAGCATTCATAGATTGTCAGCCCTGCTGTGGAAATGAAGGAAGACTCTGATCAAAACAATCTGAATCTCTCTTCTCCTAACCATGAATAAAATGCCACAGAAAGGCACACTTTTATTGATTTTTAATTTTGAAAGTATTATGACATTTCTTTAGTTATTTATTACCCTCAATGGGGTTGAAAAGGATTGACAATCACTGATGCAATTGAGGGAAAATTACATACTGAAAACAGGCAGTTTGGGCAGCGTGACCAAGCTTGCAATGTGGCAGTGATGTTTAAAAAGTTCACCTGAGCAGCTGAGTAACTGCACCGGTTGTTAGCTCTTCCCAAGGTCCGATGTTGCAACAGCTCTGCTGTTGTGTTAGCGTTTCAATCAGTTCAGGTATGTCTGTTTATCTAGCTGCCATCACACCCTTGGATGATAGCACGGACATGCCTACGGATGATAGCAGCTCTGGTATTGGGAGTGAAATAGTTCTGGTGCCCAGTAACAAGGGAATTAATTGTCTGATATATTCCGGCTGATACCGCAAGTGCTTCGGCATGTACACAGGGACCTCAGACAGAGCAACAGTGAGGACTGGAGCTTGATGGAGCAGTATAAGAAAAACAGGACTGTGTTTCTCATCCCTCCCATTCTCTTTTTAACTCCAGTGAAAACTATATTATTCATAAAACTAAGTAACATAGTGTCTCAAACCCAAATGGATATGTAATTTTCTTCTTATATTAAGTGCCTAGCTAATTAACTAAGAATATAATTAGCTTTGAGTCAGCTTCTTTGTAAATCTTAGCTGGATTGTGATATATGATTTGCTGGCTAGCAATAAATGCTATTCCTTTTACCGGCATAGCGTGCAATACTTAATGCAGTAAAGTGAATGTGTCTTAAATGCCATCAACCTTTGTGCTTTGTTACTGACTAAACAACTGATCTATCAGTTGGTCTTAAAAACCATGGATACATATTTTGGATGTGGATACAATATATCTATATTGGGAACCTGAGGAGCATTTCTGAGCAGTCAGCTCTCAGAGTCTCAGCTGCTTTCCAGCTCTGTATGGGAGAAAGCCCTCAGGTTGCTCTGCCTGCCCACTGCAGGTACACACACGAGAATATGACCCAAATGAGACCTGCAATATGTTCCAACACTGAGGTGCATGCCCCAGATGGGATCCACAGAATGTTTCAGACAGGTACATGATCTCATCTGCTGGGGGACTATGACCTAAGCTATGTCTTACTACAGCCTAAGTGGGCAATGTAGACACCAGCCAAAGCTGAACTAGCACAGGTCAGCTGAGCTGCAGTAAGCAGCGTGGGATGTTTGCATTAACTTCAGTGGAAGGTGTTTCTATGAAGTTTCTTTCATCTGGGTTGAGCTAAAAGCCCCTCAGACAATTAGTTGTTGCAGCTCAGCTTATATGGGAGGCTTCATGTAAACTTGGAAATAACAAACGTCAAAGACTGCAGATAAAAGTATGGAAGACTGCAGTGAGTGTGTAAGATTCTGAACTATATCAGGTCTCACTTTTCTTGTGCAATGTGGTCCTTGTTTATGCCAGACTTCTGTTGAGATGTGTCCATCGAGGCAGTCTAGCCAACTAGCTGAAGATAGCTAGACATAAAGGAAACACTAGATGGGAATGGGAATGGGAATGGGAATGATGCAATGAGATCTGGTCTGTCTGTGGTGGCACAGCAGTTTCCAGAAGCTAGCACAGATACTAACAGCTTAGGTAAGAATTAAGGCTGCATATAAAAAGGTGAATCATGGCATGGACATTCCTGTCATAAGGACTTAGACCAGCTTTTCACCAGTACGGCCAAGCCTTTCTCATATCATGTCTTGATTAGGACAGAGAAGTGGTTCCTGTAAATGCCTCTTGAAACATGGTAAATACTTTGATGATAAGTTTCAGTGGCTGTTGCCATAGACTTAAAATAAGTAATTTTGCTTTTCAAAGTGTATTAAATAGTTTACACACTCATAAGACTGTGCCCAAAGCCCACAGCAGCTTTCAGCAATGACTTCTGTCCCAAAGCAGGGCCTGAACTGGCTCTAAATTAGCACATGTTTAAAGCAAGAACGGTTAGGCTGACTATCCCTGTATTTAAAGTGACAGACTATATGGAAATTGGCTTGCCTATGCTCAGATCGTTTGAACAGAAATATTCAACATAAGAGAGTCCTCCAGAACAAGAAAGTCTGCATACCAGTGATGAGAGACTGTGTGAATCATCGCTGTTCACAACGCAGTACAGGGCAGGCCAGCACAGTCCTGCTGCTCTGCTGCTTCTGTGCCACGTTACTCACTGAAGACCTCCAAATAATTCCTCATTTGTCAAAATGGGGCTATGGCACTAATTTAAGGCAAGTTTTTTCACCGTTGATCACTACAAGTTCTCCTAAGGACTTCATCTAAATCTGAAGTGGTGGAAGGATGAGCAGCAGCAGCTATTTTGGACCTAGTGGTTAATGACTGATTTCTTCTTGCGGTCAAATATTGCACTACAAGTTTTTGAAGTAATACTAATATACAAAAAAAGAAAATGTTGCGAGTACACTACATGGCAGATAAACACAAGGATGATCCTATTTGGTTTGATATAAGAAAATTATGTTCAAATATAGAAAAATCACTCAATGCGAAGGAGTACACTTTCCCAACTGCTATTAATTTGTCAAAAAATACATACAAAATGTATTCAATTCTTCATTAATCCTGCATGGAAAAAAATATGTATGCTTGTGTGTGTATTTTACATATTCAGGAATATGTTGGCTAAGATTAATAAACTATTAATTTATAATTACTAAGCATGAGCACCAATATGAAAGCATTAGAAGCTTTAAACTGAATCAGAATGTGATTTTATAATATAACTAATATGTTCCAAAATATCAATAACCAAGTTATTATGAAGTTATTATTTTACTAAGAATCTCTTTGGAAACTTTCATTTCCCCTGGAAGCTCTCATTTTACAGCTTTCATTTTAAAAGTTTATACTCAAGTCCAAGCTTGTGAATAATTTCAGGAGAGCAACACTAAAGAGAAAATAAGAAATTATAACAAACTCCAACTAGCATGGCTATTATGAGTAATAATCCAAAAGATTTATATCTCTTTAGAAACTGCAGAAGTACATATCTAAACACTTCTGAATGCTTCTCATGAAACAGTAGCAATAAAAATAACGTCAGCAAGCATTTCTAAAAAAACAAGCATATTTTTTAGGGTTTGGCTTTAGGTTTTGGGGTTTTTTTGTTTGTTTTAATAATCAAGACCGAGAAATAAGCCGAGGCAAATGTCACTTACCTCTTACATGGACTAGAAGAAAGCCAAAGCACAGAAGGAGGATACTTCTGAATTTCCCCATGATCTTCTATTCAGTGCCTTGATTGCACTAGTTGTTTTTTTTCCAAGGGTAGATGTTGCAACTGCAGTGCCAAGGTTTGCGAGAAACGCTTGGAATCAGTGGCTCTGCCCAATGACTTCCCTCACCATCACACTCAAGCACCGCAGAAAAGAGAGAAGTTCCTAAAAACCTCTTCTAGTACAAGACAAATAACGAAAGCAAACGACCTCCCTGCGGCCAAGCTGTGAGCAGCACCATAGGTGCCACCCGCCCTCTAAGAAATCTATTTATCTCCCACGCAAGGAGCATGAAGAGTCAGGGCACCAGCAACAGCATCCAATGAGCAGGGAGCCACCACAGTCTGAACCCACCTCCTTCCCGGAGGGAAAGCCAACCTGTTTGACATCCTTGCCTTCAAAGCAGGGTGTGGTGCTGCGGGAGCTCAAGTAGCTTGTGAGACGAGACCAGCCTTCTCTGAAGTGTACTTAAAAAAAATCTCTCAGGTATACTCTGATCTCAAAGCACTGTTTTCCTGCTCAGTTTTTGGCTGAGCAAGTGAAGACAATCCTCTCAGAACCCTAAACAGTGACTCAAGCTGCTGAGGGAGGGAAGTGAAGGCCAAGAATCTGTTTTTCAGAGATTTGGGGACTGTCTACAGTGGGATGGCAAAAACCCCCTAATTTTAGAAACTTAAAATGTGATGTTGTCATGAAAACACACTGAAACGACTGCACACAGATAATGAACTTAAGCAAACTTTAATTCACAATCAAAACTAAACTGCCAAAACCAACAAAACAACAGAGGTAACTGAAAACAACTCTCCAAAGGCATTTAACAAATTAGGGGTTTGTTGTGTCAGTTGGGGATGTTATTAAGGCACGACACAGAAGCATGATGACATTGCAGTGTGCGCACGCTCGCTCACAAGAATTAACCTCTTGCTCAAGGGCACTCAAGAGTTGCTTGCCAGAAGGGGGTGAGGGCTCACTCAAGGGTATCCAGAAATAATCACTCACCAAAGGAGGGTGAAGGCATTCCTTCCTGGGAAATTTCCTTGGGTGGCGTCCCAATGCCAAGGGAAGGGCTTCTGATCACAGACCTGCTGCTCTGAGGAGAACTGCTCCAAGTGGGGCTTCAGCAAGGGTCCCATTTTACAGCCTCATTGGATATGAACTGTAGTCAAATATGGTCGTGTCCCAGCAGTTTCTCTGGTCTGAGGTGCCCCATTGGCTGGGGACCCTGTCTGTTAACGGAGGGGTCCCACCTTCTTGTTCCTGCCACTGGGGGTGGGGGGTGCGTGCTGGTCGGCCAGCAGCCACAGTGTGATGCCACAGTCTGAAAATAAGGTCCAGTGGCTACCGTGTCAAAAACTATAACTCTTACTGAGTGGGGGGGCAAGGAGAGAGGGACAGGATGCTCCTGCCACAGATGTCAGAAGTGAAGCATGCTCAGCTCCCTGGTGGATGCTTATCTTCACAAGGTAAACATTGTCTGTCATTTTTTTCCAATGATCTAAATATATTTTGAGATATAAATATCCATGTATATCCTACATGGAGGTCTCAGAAAGTACCATGCCACAGGCCAAGTATGAGAACACAAAGCTTTAGACAATGAACAAAAATATATGCATCCATCCATACATGAATGTAGATTAAAATCACTGATGTAATTTAAATCCAGGTTTGTCACAGCCTCTCTCTAGCAAACACATGTGCCAGCACACTTGTCTCTTGAGCTGGACTGCCACCGTCACGTTGGCGCCCGACACCAGCAAGGAGACTGGTGCGCATCCTCCCTTTTGCTGGGGGTAACTTGCAGGTGTTTCTGTCAGCATTGTTTTGACTACATCAGCAAAATACTCTGCTGCCATGAACAGCCCATCTGTTGCTGGGTGATCCAGTCTGATGTGAGGTGCAGGCTGGCACCAAGTGCATTTCTGTTGAGTTACCTAAGAAGATACAATACAGTGTGTGCGCTGAATTCATGCATTTATGCTAACTACAAGAAAACCGATGCAAAAACATAAACTGGACTGATAAAAGCTGGTGATACTGGATCTTCAAGAAGCTTGATGTTCACGTAGGTCAGCTTCCTCTCCCTCCCCAAAATCTGAACCA